AATATGTAGATTACTTTGGATAATATGGACATTTTAACAATGTTGATTTCTCCAATCCTGAGTATGGGATGTATTTCCATTTATTTGTATCTTCTTCAATTTCTTTCATCTATGTTTTATAATTTTCAGTGAATATAGATCTTTTGCCTCCTTGGTTAAATTTATTCCTAAGTATTTTATTTTTTGTAGATATTATAACTGGTATTGTCTTCTTCCTGATTTCTATTGATTTTTGTATGTTGATTTTATATCCTGTGATTTTTCTTAATTTTTTCATTCGAACAGTTAAAAAACCCTAAGACTCCAGTTTTGGTTTTTTTTTTAACCTTTAAGATCATGTCATCTGTAAACAGGGATAATTTCACTTCTTCCTTTCCCATTTATCTGCCTTTCTTCTTAAAAAAAAAAAAAAGAAAAGAAAGAAAGAAAGGAAATGGTTCTCACTGTGTTGCCCAGGCTGACATGAGCCTCCTACAGCAGGCTTCTGAGTAGCTGAGATTGTAGGTGTGTATCATTGCTCCTGGCTTTTGTATGCTTTCCCCCTTCATTTGCCTAGTTGTTTTGGCTAGGACTTCCAGTACTATGTTGAACAGAAGTGTAGAATGCGGGCATCCTTTTCTTTTTCAAGATCAGAAAAAGCTTTGAACTTTTCTTTGTTGAGTGTGATGTTAGCTGTGTAATGCCATATATGGCCTTTATTGTGTTGGGGTACATTTATTTCTCTTATACCTAATATATGGATGGTTTAATGTGTTAAATCTTGTCAAATGCTTTTTTTTTTTTTTTTGCATTTGTTGGAATGATCACATTGTGTTTGTCCTTCATTCTGTTAATGTGGTCTATCACATTTATTAATTTTTGTATGTAAAGTCATCCCTGTATGACTTAGCATACACAACTCAGTTTGAGTAGAACTCATTTAGAGGAATTCTTCTCTAAATGTTTGGTATAATTTATCAGTGAAGCCACCCGTCCTGGGCTTTTCTTTGTTGGGATGAATTTCACTGGGTATGGTGAATGAATCTTAATAGATTCTGCTATTGAAGCTTTATAACTAAAGACTGGATCTATCAGAGGAACACAATTACCTTTGTGTATTTTATTTCTTGGTACACTTCATTTGGGGTTGAATTTGACTGGAAATCTCTGTCCTTCCTGTACCTATATCTATCCCCACATTAGAGGTGTCTTCAATCATAATTTCTTCAAATATCCCTGAGATCCGTGAACCAGGGAAGTAAAGCTCATACCATGAGAAGGAAGGCTGAGGCATGTTACTGTACCCAGACTGCCGACAACTGCTGTCTGTGCTTGGCTAGTCTACTTCCAGACAGAAATGTTACACACCATTGCCATGTACTGTTGAATCTGATTTGCTAGTATTTTGTTAAGGTTTTTATATCTATATCTATCAAGGAAGTTGATCTGTAGATCTGTTTTTTTTCCTTATAATGTTCTTATTTGGTTTTGATTTTATATCCTGTAATTTTTCTTAATTTTTTTTATTCTAACAGTTAAAAAAAAAAGCCAGAATAATTCTGGCTTCATAGAAGGAGTTTGGAAGACTTCCCTCCTCTTCAAATTTTAAAAATAGTTTGAGTAGAACTCATTTAGAGGAATTCTTCTCTAAATGTTTGGTATAATTTATTAGTGAAGCCACCAGGTCCTGGGCTTTTCTTTGTTGGGAGACTTTGTTACCAAGTAATTGTTGATCTGATCAGATTTTCTATTTCTTCTGAATTTATTCTTGATTCTTTTTATGTGTCGAGTAATCAGTCCATGTCTTCTAAGTTATGCAATTTATTGGTATAGAATTTCTCATAATGGTTTCTTAGGATCCTTTGAATTTTGTTTGTATCAGGTTTGATGTCTCCTTTTTTATTCTGATTTTATATATTTGAATGTTTTCTCTTCTGCTTTTGATGAAGGCATTTTTTGCTGTAATCTTTCCTCTTATAACTGTTTTTGCTATATCCTATAGGTTTTGGTATGCTGTATTTCCACTTTCATTCTTCTCAAGAAAAACTTAAATTTCCCTTTTAATTTCTTCATTGATGCATTGGTTGTTTGGGAGTGTGCTGTTTAATTTCCATGTATTTATAAATTTTCTAAATTTCCTCCTATATGATTTCTAGTTTTATGTCATAATCATAAGTAAAAGTGGTATGATTTTAATTTTCTTAAAGCCTCGTCTTGTGGTCTAAAATATGATCTGTCCTGGAGAATGTTCCATATGCAGTTGAGAAGAATATGAATGCTGCAGTTGTTGGAAGGTGTGTTCTGCATGTCTGCTGAATCCATTTGTTCCTGAGTGTAGTTAAAGTCCAGTATTTCCTTGTTGACTTTTTGTCTGGATGATCTGTTCATTGCTGTAAATGTGGTTTGAAGAACTCTCTTTAGCATTTCTGATAAAGCAGGTCTGATGATTACATAGTCCCCTGGGTTTTGTTTGGAAAAATCTTTTTCTTTCCTTTATTTCTGAAGTATAGCTTTTCTATATCAAGTATTTTTGTTAGATGTTTATTTTTTCCTTCAATACTTTGAATATATCATTCCATGCTATGCTAGATTGTCAGCCGAGAAATTCAATGATATTTATATTAACATTCCTTTGTATATGATATCTCCTCATTAATCCCTCCATCCCATGTATTGTTGCTTATCTCTTGCTGCTTTCAGAATTTTCTCTTTGAGTTTGGATAGTTTGTGTATTTTATTTCTTGGTATACTTCATTTTGGGTTGAATTTGACTGGAAAACTCTGTCCTTCCTGTACCTATATCTATCCCCACATTAGAGGTGTCGTCAATCATAATTTCTTCAAATATGCCTTCTTTTGCTTTTTTCTGGAGCTTTTCTCCTTTTATGTGAAGGTTTGGTCTCTTGATGATGTCTCATAATTCTTATAGTTTTTTTTTTTTGTTGTTGTTGTTCCTTTTCACTCTTTTATCTTTTTGCTTCTCTGAATAATTTCAAATGTTCTATCTTCCATCTCACCGATTGTTCTGCTTAATAGATTCTGCTATTGAAGCTTTCTGTTGATTTTTTTTTTAGTTCAGTGATTGTATTCTTCATTTTTAGGATTTCTGTTTTTTTTTTTCTTTTGGTGTGTGTGTGTGGCAATATTCTTGCTTTTCTCATGTATTGTTTCCAAGTTTCATTAAATTTTCTATCTGTGTTTTCTTGTAGTTTAGTGGACTTTGTTTTTTAACAATTAATTTTTAAAATTTGTTCTAAATGAGGACTATTCTGAATTCTTTGTTGGTCATTCCATAGGTTTCCATTTATTTGAGTTCTATTATTGGAGCTTTATCAGTTTCTTTTGGAGGTGTCATTATTCCCTGATTTTTCATAATCCTCCTGTCCTTGCATGGTTGTTCACGCATTTGACAAGACAGTCCTTCTTCTGACCTTTACATGTGCTCATTGGCAGGGATACAATTTTGCTGTTTACTCTAGTCTGTGATTTTGGATAGATCCATCTGGTGATGACCCTAGGCATGTGGAGCTTGATATGAGTTCTTTAGTTGGCTCACCCCATGCTTTTGATTGGATATTGGATAGAACTACTAGCGGGCTCTGCTATCAGTTGGACTAATTGGCTGGGTATTGTCATTGTTTCTTGTTAGGCTGATCACAAAATGTATTCCTATGCTATTTGGGATCTATAGTTGGCAGGTGTGTTAGTTGTGCACTGAGGTTGGATAGAATTGCTGTTTTGAACAAGTGGGACCCAATACTATGTTCCTTAGAAATACATGATTGAACATAGCTCCCCTGTCTTGGAGGGGGTGGGAGCTGTGAGATGGGCTTTTGGCTGAGCTGAGTTGCTGTTGGACTTCCTGGATCAAGCAGTTCTAGCCCTTGTGTTTTTCCAAAAAGCACAGAGGTGGAAGTCTCCCTGACTGGGTAAAATTTTGGCTGAATTCTGCCACTGCTTCCCCCCTAGGCCAAGCTAGTATAGCTCCTTTCTTCTCTGAGATCAGTGGAGGTTGGAGTCTCCCTTCCTGGATGGGGTTATTGGATAGGCAGTTTGACTATGTGAACCAGCTATTTGCCCTCTTGGGTCAAGCCATTTTAGCCCCTTTGCTTCTTTGAAATCCATAAAGGTAGGAGATTCCCTGCTAGGGCAGTATTATCAGGGTGATTCTCAGGCTAGATGTGGAGACGAGCAGTCCAGGGGTTCAAGACAGATTATTTTTCTCAGTGTTCTTCTGAAGGTGACTAGCTTTATCTTGCAGGTTTGCCTTGAGATTGGCCATTGTCTCTGATTGTGTGCTGTAGTTGGCAGGAACATAAATATGCCACCAGCAGTTGTGCACTCTTTGTTTCCACCCAATCCCTTGGGAGATAAAGCCATGGTATTTCTCCTTATTGAACTGAACTGGAATGGGTCCCCTGAGAAGCATCTGGGAATGCTAGGGAAACTGGATGACTGCTTCTGGTTCTTTTTCCTCCTGTAGAAGTTGTAAACCCAGGAAACTCCTCTCTATCTGTAGATATGCCCACATGGGAAAGAGGGAAAGGGTGGGACAATCACAGTGATACCGTTCCTCTTTCCTTTCTAATTTGATTTGTTCAGTTCTGTGTAACATAGGTGTCTCAGGCTTATTTCCAGGTGTTGGGGTTTTCTAGGCTATGGATCATTGTCTTCTGTAGGGAGGAAGGGGGCCCAAGACTTCTTACTCTGCCATCTTGCTGACACCCCATAAACTTTTAAAAGATTTCTGTCTTTCGATAAAGCTATTTATTATAAATATTTTCAGTTTCATACTATGTAAATATGGATGAGAATTACATAATTTTTTTGAAAATATTTGTGCACTAAAGATAGATTACATTAATAAAGTTTTAGTGTAATTTTTACAATATTGTTTGACTTTTTTATTAGATACTTAGTTGTGCTTCTTGTTTTATAGTATATAAATATCTACTACTGTAATACATAATGCAATGTTTGTTGGTTTTGATTTTGTGTGTGTGTGTTTTTTTTTTTTTCAGAGAGTGATAATGAACTCTCGAGTGGAACAGGTGATGTGTCTAAGGATTGTCCTGAGAAGATTCTGTACTCTTGGGGAGAATTGCTAGGAAGATGGTAAAAGTTTATTTTTCTTACTGAAAATTTTATATTTATATAGTTAATATTAACTTGTTAAAATAAATTTTGCTCTGTGTGGTGGCTAACACCTATAATCCCAGCAGCTCAGGAGGCTGAGATATGAGGATTTCAATTCAAACCTATCCTCAGCAATTTAGTGAGGCCCTAAGCAACTTACTGAGACCTTGTCTCAAAACAATAAAATGGCCTGGGGATGTGGCTTAGTGGTTAAGTGCCTCTGGGTTCAGCCCCTGGTATCAACACAAAGCAAAGAAATTTTAATATTAAATCTACCTTAATATTAATATCATAATGTACTTACTTTAAAAAACATAAAATTAAAATGTAACCCATACATACTCCTTATATTTGACTAGGTCATTCTCTAGTATGTTCTTATTTAACTTGCTTTCAGAAGATATTTGTCTTATTATTTCATTAAGATATAACATTGTTCCAGGTTGTCAATTTTTTTGCTACATTGCCAACACACACACACACACACACACACACACACACACAGATATATATATATATATATATATATATATAAAAGGTTACATTTTTGACATTGCCAAATCTATTATCACTTAAAAGGTAATATAGAGGTTAGAATTAATCATTTTATCATCAGTTATATAGACTGTAACACAGTCTGTTTTATTCTTTCTGTCTTAAATTATTACTTATTTTGGTGTGGGGGGCTACCAGGGATTGAACTCAGGAGAACTCAACCACTAAGCCACATCCCCAGCCCTATTTTGTATTTTATTTAGAGACAGAGTCTTACTGAGTTACTTAGTGCTTTGCTATTGCTGAGGCTGGCTTTGAACTCACAATCCTCCTGCCTCAGCCTCCAGAGCTACTCGAATTACAGGCATGTGCCACTGTGCCTGGCAAATTATTACTTTATTTTTTGGAATATTTTTCCTGGAATTATAAAAAAAGATACTCTATTTATGTTATTATGTAATAAATACTCTTGTAATTTTAAGACAGTTTTTTATGTAAGTTTTTAAAATTTATATATGACAGTAGAATGCATTATAATTCTTATTACATATATAGAGCCAATTTTTCATATTTCTGGTTGTATACATAGTATATTCACACCAATTCGTATCTTCATACATGTACTTTGGATAGTAATGATCATCACATTTCACCATCATTAATTACCCCATGCTTCCTCTCTTCCCCTCCAATCCTTCTGCCCTATTTAGAGTTCGTGTAAGACAGTTTTTTTTTTGAAGATGACCAGAACTGTCATATCTCTGTCCTCCATACCAGTACAGACATAGAAACCTCGAATTATTATTGAATCTGTACATCAGGTTAGATGTATGCAGGCTATCCAGGAGAGACTATAAAGTCTAGGCAGAATCACACATGTTTCGTATAGAAAAGTGGAATAAAGAATACTTAAACTTTCTTTTATCTTCTTTAGAGATATTCCCTGTGATAGTCTTCTGTATACATCCTAAGAGATTCCTGAGTTAGGATTTAGGGAGTAATTATTTACAGTTCCCAGGGTTGGAAAGTTTATGATTTCTCATTGTGAAATCCAGATACAAGGTTTATTTATTCTGACCAATGTGTTGGACCTATTATGTTTTCAAGGAAATACCCTGAGAGGAAGGGAGTGTCAGCTGCATCTTCTTTTTAAATGAAGAAAATTTCATTTTTGTTTATCCTATTCATGTAAATAAAAATGAACATATCAGATACGAGTATGAAGATGTGAATTTGGTGTCAACATACCTTATATCTAATAAGAGATATGTTAAATTATTGTATAATGGTGTATTAAGAATTGTACTGCAAAATAAATAAATAAATGAAACATTAAAAAATATAAAGCTGAAAAAAAGAACATATCTTAGACAATGTGTGTAACTCATTAACCAGTAAGATATTACAATTAATCAAAATGACTGTTTGATATAGAGTCATAAGATCTTTATTGGACAGTTCATTTTCACACTAACAGGAACATCTGCATAACTGTGGACAGAAACTATTTGCAATGCTATCAGTTTTCAATACATTACTCCTATCTGTTGAGAATTTAAACTATAGTCAGAGAGAAATTACTATTCTCCCCAAAACAAAATTAGACTATGCAAAGACTAACTAGCCTATCAAAGATAGAAGAATCCCAGCTGGAAAACCTAAAGGTGCTAGGCTTTTTAAAGAGGTTTTAATGCAGAGAACTGGTTTATATTGAGTTAGAAGTCTGAAAAAATGAAAAGGATATGTTGAAGTAACCAAGATAGAGGAAGCAGCTAAAACCTCTGGAACACGAAAAATAAATTAGAAGTGTTGTTACCAGAATCTAGGAACTCAAAAGGAATTTGAGGATCTGTGTGGGACCTCTGAAGAGGGGTGCACATCTGGTTGCTTAGACTCCTGAGGATACTCAGAGCAGCTAAAGTTTGGAAGGAACTGTTAGGAGAGGACATTTGGTTAGTTCTTCACTTTTGAAGTGACGTCCCAACTCTGAACTAGAGGAGGGCACTATATGATTGATGGTTGTGCTTCTTCAAGGATGTTAATTGGTATTAGTATTTCTTAGCAATTGTGATATAGCTCGTACTTGGAATGCATTCCCTTATTCCTATTTTATACTTTCCAACTGCACCTGGCTATTTCTTATTGGCAGAAGTTAACCTGGAAACCATCTATCTTGGCAGTTGAGTCTGGGATATATAGTTTGCAGAGTCTCAGGCCTTGCATCATTGAATAAAAATATACGAAGGTGAACTTGTAGTTGAGAAGCAGTAGGTTAGGGTTGAAAATAGCTTATTCTAATTCTCACTCATGCATGTATATGGGCTAATTAAATTGGATATTGACTTTTTTTTTTTTTTTGGTACTGGGGATTGAGCTCAGGAGTACTGAATCATGAGCCACATCCCTAGCCCTATTTTGTATTTTATTTAGAGATAGGGTGTCACTGAGTTGCTCAGTGCCTCCTTTTGCTGAAGCAGGCTTTAAACTTGTGATCCTCCTGCCTCAGCCTCCTGAGCTGCTGGGATTACATGCATGTGTCCCACTGCGCCCAGCTAATTGGACAGTCTTAAAACCCATGCTCTTAAAGTAGGGACTGATGAATTAGGGGTATTGAAGAATCAAGAAGAAATAGCACCAACAGCTTACTCTATTAATCTCCTTCATCTTTTTATTTTTTAAGTTTATTTTTCAAGTTTATGGACCTTTATTTTATTTATTTGTTTTTATGTGATGCTGAGAATTGAACCCAGTGCCTCACACATGCTAGGCAAGTGCGCTACCACTGAGCCATAACCTTGGTCCAAATCTCCTTCATCTTTTATCTGAAGGTATACTACAAAACAAACAAACAAGAAAATCCTGGAACTAATAAGTGAATTTTTTAAGGTCAGTACGTGAACACCAGTCTTATTTCTGTATACCAACAATGGAAAATCAGAAATGAAAATTTAAAGATGTATGAATGCACCAGAGGAAAACATGAAATACTTACATAGAAATCTAGCAAACTGTGTGCTAGGTATGTATTTTAAAACACTGGAAAACATTAATGAAAGAAATCAAAGAAGATCTAACTAAAAGGAGAATTATATATATTCAAGGAATGAAAGACTCACTATTAATATATCAGTTGTTTCCAAACTAATCTACATTCTAATTGAAATTTCAGAATTTTTTTATATTGACCAAGCTGATTGTAAAATTTATATAGAAGGACAAATTAACTAGAGGAGCTAAAAATTGTTTGAAAACGAAGAACAAAGTTGGAGGACACACTGCCAGATTTTAGGGATTGCTGCAACGTTATAGTAATTAAGAAAGTATTGATGAAAGGATAGACACATAGCTTGGTGACATAGAGAATTCAGGAATAGAGCCATACAACCTAAACAGTCATTTTCCAAAGAATATACTAATGGCCAACTGGGACATCAAAAGAGTCTCAAGGGTCTGGGGTTGTAGCTCAGTGGTAGAGTGCTTGTTGAGAATGTATGAGGCACTGGGTTTCATCCTCAGTACCACATAAAAATAAATAAATAAAGGTATTGGTCCATCTAAAAATTTTTAAAAAAGAGTCTCAAAGTAATTAGTCATCAAGGAAATGAAAATCATTTCATGAAATGAAAACAATGTAATTGATATATTTTGAGGAAAAGCTGATAGAATTAGTTTATGCTTCCTGTGTGGCTTGAGAAAAAAAACTAACCAGTAATATGCAAAATTTTGCCTTGAACTTCAAGAAGATGTGCCACTTACTCAAATATGAAAGACAAGGGAGGATAAAGTAAAGATTTTGGAGAGGCTGAAATACCTTTTAAACATCCAAGTGAATGTGTCCATTAGTCAATTTAATGTAAGATTGAATTCAAGAGAAAGATATGGAAGGAAATATGAGCTTGGGAGCCATTACTGCTTGCATATACTTTTAAAAGGTATTAGAGAAGAAGGTGTGAGATTTCTTAGTGAGTATAGATAGCGAAGTCATATAGGGACTGAACCCTTGACCGCCCCAGTGTTGGGAAGTTGGAAAGATGTCAAAGATCATGCAGAAAGCAGGTCAGTGAGATAGGAGGACCAAAATAGAAACCAGGTGAACTAAGTTGATTAAGGAAGTAGTAATTAAGTGATGATAGTTCAGTTTACATGAAGCCATAGAATTCCACTGGATTCAGCACTTTGGATGTCACTGGTGTCTTTGGTAAGAACAGCTTCAATAGAGAGGTGGGAGTGAAAGCCCAGTTGTGCCAAAGAGGAAGAGGAATCTGTAGATATAGATAGCTCTTGAGTAGTTTTGCTATAAAGTGATAGTAAAAATTGGGAACACCTTAGGAATCAGATGCGGGTTTAGAAGTCATTAAAAATTGACGTGGGCAATATAACATGTTTGCATGTTAGAAATGGTCTAGGAGAGAGAAAAGTTGATGATGTCAGAGGAAGATGACAGTTGCAAGAATAGTTGATAAACAGGGAAGAAGAGGGTGAATTTGTTGACTAATAGAACCGTTATACCCAGGAGCACAGATAGGTGATTGCAACAGGAGGAAAGGTGAGACATGGCTATAAAATCACTGAGTAAAATACTTACGATGTGTCAGGTACTATTTTAAGCACTTTACATGAGTTATTTCATTTAGTCATCACAATAGCACTCTAAAGTAGGTATTATTATTATCTATATTTTAGAGGTGAGAAAACCAAGGCAAACCTATATTAGATATTGAATATGAAAATGCATAATAACAGGAAATATCAGGAAATGGATAACTTAATCAGTCATTGTGTAAAGTTGGGTAGGTATGTAGCTGGATCAATTTTTATAGGCACATTACAAGTACTAGTGAGAGAGTCAGTAGACTAGGAAACGGATACCCTTGCCCAACCAATACTTAAAACTTCTAGTCATAATTTTAAAGAGATCATGAGGATGACAGTTTCATAAACAGTAAACACAAAATTGAGATATAATTGATACATGCTTCTATAAACATTGCAAACCTACATGTCAACAAATGTGAACAAAACCCAATAAATCCTCAAGTGCCAACCACCCAACTTCCGTAGTTATCAAAAGAGAGATAATATGAAAAAGGTTTTGAAACTAAGATTGCTCCTGATTATTTTTTTAGTGAGGTAATTTTGAGATAGGAGGAAAACTGGTTTACAGAGAAGCTAGTTGGGAGGGAGTCACATGATTGATAGGTCTATGTCAAACTCATTGGCCTTTAGAAAACTTGCTGTATCTTTTCCATTTGAAATGTTTTTCCATTTATTTGAGTCATTATTGCAGTTGTGTCATGACAATGGATATGAAAAATGTAAAACTTGCCTAACCTAGAAAAATTTATGTCTGTTAAACAAAGATTAGTAATTTAAAAAATTGCTCTCAGAATTTCTCTTTAAAACATTAGTATTCATTAGATTTAGAAATATTCAAAGTCTCAGCAATAAAAGGTGGCATTTATATGAAGATAGTTTTGTAATTTGTTAAGGTAAAGCACTTGTGCAGGGGCCTACACATTGTGCTTTGAGGAAATTTTCTTTTAAGTGGAGAGACAGCCTGTATTCTCAGTGATCTTTTAAATGAAATGTAGCTGAAAATATTTTGAATTTATTCTAAAACAACTAAATGAGTATATTAAAATAAAGCAAAACTGTTATAGATAAAAATTAGAATTCGTGTATTTAAAGATACTCCGAAAGCTACAAAGGAAAATATTTAATACTAATTTTAAATCACCAGAAAAAATAAGGATAATATAGAAAACTTAAGAACAGATCATATAATAGTAATGGGTGGCTTTATAAAAGATTGAAGTTTCGGTATAGTGAAGAAAGAGGGAGAACATTTGTCAGGGGAGATCTTACAAAAATCATCTACTGTAACATTTCTTAAGTTATGTATATAAATTCTGCACATCCAAGTCTTCTCATTGGATTGTGGTGACAATTGCTGAGGTTATGACATTTTGGAAAGCAACCAGGTTTTGGGAGAAGCATGTAAGTTCAGACTATGACATGCTGGTATTAAGGTGCTTTGAATCTTCTGGAGCTCAGAATCCCCGTGCAGAAGTGATAATGTGAGAGCGAAAGTGTTAGATCACTGGGGGCAGAGTGGAGAAGGAGCTGGGGACACCTAAGAGACATGGAGGATTTCATGGATTTCATGATGGGCATAAGGAAGGAGTGCTTTGTCACTGAGGCCAAGGTCACTAGTAAGAGTGGTCAACAGTGAATGGACTGAACATGTCCCCTGAATTTAGTGGCATGGAGGGAGGTCTAGATTACTTTAGTGAAAACTTTTCAAAGAGAAAAAGAGAGAAGGCACATTAAACTGAGTTTGGGGAGAAGAAATAGAAATGAATGAGTATATAACTCTTTTGAGAGATTCCATGTTGAAGAGTAGGAAACAACATGAGATTTATGTGGAATTGAATGAAGATTTCTTGTACCTAGAGGTATTAATTGGAGTTTCAGTGTAGATTCAGTGATGACTTGTTGAACTACATACATCATGTAGCAAATGTTTTATTTAATTATATTGAATCCTTATATGATAATTCAAATCATTTTGCCTTTCAATTTAGAGAAAATGAGCTTATCCCTTTGTGTATTGTTGCTTTAATTAATTCAATTTTCTGTACCTCGAGTATAGAAATTCAGTGTCCATCACACCATATGTTTTTCTTATCCAAAATATGATTAGAGCCAAACCTTAAGTTCCAAAAGATCATTTCATCACTGATCCTGGTGCTCTTGTGACATAAGAGTCTTTGGTCATCTCAAATTTAATTGGATAATAAAGAAAAGTCAGGTGGAAGAAAGTTTTAGGTGTCAAATGGTTTTCTCAGCTTTAACTCTTGAAAAGAGTAATTAATACTCTTCTACTTAACATATTTTGTCAATTAGATTTAATTATCATGTTTTTACAAATTATCTGAAGTAATATTTTAATTTAAATCCATAAGAGAAATCTAAAGAATTCAAATCATTATTGTTTTTTGATGATGAAATTATTTAAGGTCATTGCACATACTTCAGGCGCCATAGGAATATAAAAGGGACTCTTTCCTCTTTTAATTCTGTTACAGATCTCCAAAATATCTTTTTGGAGTATACTGTTCCATATTCTTTTCCTGTGCATGTTTAAAAGCAGGTTTCAAAATACTGTATTTAAAATCATTCCTCTGTACTATTTTGAGACCTGTTTTTGTCACTTAGTGTAGTTATGTTCTTTAATAATGTTAAATCATGTAAGCCCTGCCTCTTTTTACTTTGAGTTGATTTAAGGCCATCTGTATTATCAGCTTGGGTTCTCTGACCCAACAATACAAAAGTTTAGCTAGCTGAAAGCAGAATGGGTATAAATCTGATGATTTATTTAAATACTGACGTGACAAGTTTATTTGAATTCGTTGAAGTTATGGAAATGAGTATAGGTTTTGCCAAGATATGCAGATCATGGCAGTGTGAGGAAAAAAAAAAATTGAACATATTGTGTCAGAGATAGGGCATGCCAAAACTGGGGTCTGTGCTAGAGATGAAAGAGTGTGCATAATCTAGAAAAGTAGGTGGGACACCAATTTTGGAAAGCAGACATACAGATTCCATGACTTTCAGGCTTAAATCTTGAAACCAGAGCCTGGAGTAGGCCAAACCAGAATACATCATCAAGTTTGGAGTCCAGATAGTGTAACCAGAGTCAACTCTAAGAGATAAGTAAAATCTGAGCAAAAAAGCATAGAATGTAGCTCTAGATTCAAGCTAGGCACCCGGAAAAAGATGAGTAGTGGAATTACATGAGACTGGGAACTATAATTCAGTTTCTTGTCAGGTTATCATAGTATCATACCTATATGTGTTCATGGATTTTAGGCCAAGAAACATTCACCTTGTTCTGATTTTAAACACCCTTGAGAATGGGTTATGCTCATAAGTGTGTGTTGTTCTTGTGGCAAGGTGGACTTGTATAGGTTCTGGTGCCTATAGGGAAGGGTAAGGTCCATCCTTTATGGAGCACTTGTAATTAAAATAAGGCAACAAGACAAATTCCGAAGTGCAAATAATGAACTATTCTTATCAAGAAGTTCATTTTAGATAATGTTTTAATCTGAAAGGTCCTTCACATGCTGAAACAGAGTTCCGAGAGAGGTAACCAAGACATAGACTTCCCAGGGGAATATGGGTCAGAATGTAGGTGTCACAGGAAACTAAACTATGTATATTTCATGCCTTCTATACTGTGGAGCATACTTTTCGCGCTTGGTCCAGTGGACCTGACCTCAGAGAAAAGAGTGTAGTCAGCATGTGGTAGGCCTGTGATCCACTTGATAGCCTACTAGCCATCCTACCAAACTATTTATCTCAGGGGATTCAAATATTTGTCTTTATGCCTTGAAATGCTGCTAAGAAATATGTAACTAACATTCATTATTCTGAATAAGTTCATGGGGTGATTTAAAAAGTACATGAGAAGAAGAAAAAGCTTTCCCTTAAGGTAGGATAACATGGCTTACCAGGAACTAAGATAGACTAGACAAAAACAAAAACAAAAGTCAAAAGACATCATAGAGCTTGAACACTACTCTTGTTTCATGCCTGGTCATTTTTCTCTTGACCCAGGCTCATGCTCCCCACCCCACTTTTGAGTTACTAAGAATTGAACACCTCAGGAGTGCTGTACCACTGAGCTGTGTGCCCAGCCCTTTTCTTTTGTTTTGAGACAGCTTCATTAAGTTGCTGAGGCTGGCCTTGAGCTTGTTATCCTCCTGCATTAAGTCACTGGGATTACAGGTGTGCTCCACCATGCCCAAGTCCAGGCTCTAATTTTAATATAAACTAGTAAATGCCCTTTCCATAGCAACAGCAGTTCAGGAATGGTAAAGGGAATATGAATGGTTTATTTTCTTTCTTCAGGCACAATAACCTTGGTGCACGACCAAAAGGGCTACTCACTTTGGTGAAGAGTGGTGTTCCTGAAGCATTGAGGGCAGAAGTATGGCAGCTGTTAGCGGGCTGCCATGACAACCAGGCGATGCTGGACAAATACCGAATTCTTATCACAAAGGTAGGACACTCTTTTCATATTATTTTCATGGAGCATCTTAAGTTAATTCTGTTTTTCATAGCTCCCACAAGTCATAATGCTTTGAACTTCTGTAAAAGTAGTTATTTTGGTGTTGTGCACTTAATACTTCTGACTTTTGTTTTGAATACTTGTTGAATAGTGGTAAGTGATGTTCATATCATCTATGAGCAATTTATGCCTAGGTTTCATTTTTTTCATTCAAGTGACTTTATGATTTTTTTATTTTACATGTTTTTTTTGATGGACCTTTATTTTATTCATTTATTTATATGTGGTACTGAGAATTGAACCCAGTGCCTCACACGTGTGAGGCAGGTGTTTTACCACTGAGTCACAACCCCAGCCCGACTTTATAAATTTTATTTACCAAATTGAATATACGATTGGCTCTTGGTATCCTGGGTTTTGCATCAGCAGATTCAATGAACTGTGGATCCAAAATATTTGGGGGGAGGGGAAAGCTTGTGTCTCTACTGAACACTTAAGCTCTCCCCCCCTAAACAATACAGACTAATCAGTACTTACATAGTATTTACATTATATTAGGGAATATAAGCACTCTAGAGATGGTTTAAAATATACAGCCGGATTTACATAGGCTGTATGTAGATGCAATTCCATTTTACATAAGAGATTTGAACATAATTGGATTTCCCAGGACCATCCTGACTTCAGATGAGCTAGCTACAAATATGAGGGTTCCCATAGACTCCCTGAGGTTTGATAATTTGTAGCAATGACTCAGAACTCAGCAAAGAGCTCTACTCATGATAGTTTTATTTTTTAATAGCAAAACAGTGCAAATCAGAATTAGCCAACCAAGTCTATTGCCCTTTTAAAGAACTTTCCCCTAAGTCCAAACCATGATTCTACTTATGTCCTTTGACCAGAATTCTGTAATAATAAGAAAGAGTAGATATTTGGAGGACAACTGCCATTCTCTGCTTTAGGTTGCTTATTAATAGTATTTGAGATTTGTCTTAGAATAATTTGTTTTTAAAATACATGTACATCTTAGTTTATATTCAGAATGGCGAATGTTACTAGTTGCCATTTGAGATTGACTAGCATTGTGTAATTAAGATTGTAATATAAATATTTCCACATTCAATTATAAATATATGACAACATAAACTTATGTTATTTCTATTGTTAACAGTGTAATTTATTAAAAACATAATTTTCCTTCAGACATTATAGAAATGTGTTACTCTGATCATGTGCCTATATTCAAGCTCTCAAGTCATAACGTTTCTGACAGGACGTACAATGGAATACTTAATTTCATTCTCTTCCTTATATCATAGCCAGAGATAATAATAAGATGAATACTGTCATTATTTCTAAAAATGATTTTCTTACTTTTCTATGTTTAGGAGTAGAAATGAGACAGCAAGTGCTTGTAGCCAAGAGTGTATTTGTGTATTTTGGGGCTTACCACCCCTCAGTGGGAAGAGAACAAACATGCAGAGGATTTTCAGTAAGAAGTGCTTGCATATTTGGCACTTATTGGTCATGGTTCAGCAGCTGTTAGTCTCTTCTTTTGCTCCAGTTAATTTTTTTCTATCTATTAATGGAATGGCAAGATTTCAAGGTCAGTTAATGAAATGTTCCAGCTTGAAGAAACAGTGTTGCTTCATAAAAACCTTACTAGAGGCTCCAGGTTGCAAGGAAAGAAGGAATACAAAGTATTTATGGAAAAGCTACTTTATGACTTAGCTTCTATGAAAAAGTCATCTCTCTATAGTAGGAGTGCTCTAGATGAGAAGCAGAGGCCACAGATTACATTCTGAAACACTCATCCAAGGGGAGTGAACATGTAGCCTTCAGGCTGGGTCTAGCCTGAAGAGTTGTTTTGTGTAGCTATCAGAACATCCAAGAATGATATCCATCTCTGGCTCAATTTGACTTTCTTTTGCTGGCACGATGAATCACTGAGCAATAATCACATTTTCATGTATTCTGTGGCATTTGATATGGGGAGGTTATGTATATTTTAGGGCAACTTGAATTTCATCTACTGTAACAGAATTATATATGTAGTTTCAGTAATTATATGACATGTGTGATATAATTTATCAAATCTTGTGGTTAGTACTTATAGCAAATATTAGGTTATAGCCTTTTGCTCTTTTGTAGAAGTGAATTTGTAACATTCATATTTAGTACTTTATTAGAATCCAAACAAACCTTTAACTGAAAAACTTTCAGAAATAACAAAATTACCATAATTTTCTTCCTACCCCTTGAATTTTTTTTCCCCCCTGAATCTTTTCTTCGAGAAGTCTGTACCTTTTCATTTTAAAGCATTTGAGCTTTGTTGTTTGAAAGACCTCTCCCAAGTATTGAGTATTGGAATCAGTGTGTATTTCTACTTTAAAATGTAGAAACTTCCAGTCACTGTTAGACCAGGATGCAAGAAAAGACCACTGACTCCAATTAAAATCAAATTAAAGCAAGCTTATTATTTCCTCCGGCTGGGCTGCCTCTCCCAACAAAAACCGCGGGAACAAGACAGCCTTGCATTTTTCTTGCAGCCCAGCTTTATAGCCCAGAAAGTTACACAAAGGGGGGTTACATGAAGAGTGTAACACAAAGGCTAGTTTACATTTTTGCTGGCCCCGACATCAGAATTTATGAAGGTCATTAGAGCCTCAGAGAGGGTCATTATCTGGCCAGGGAAGGCCAAGATTTATGAGTCGTCACTAAAGTTTCAGAGAGGGCTGCTATCTGGTCAGAGAGACCCAGGCATGGGTGAATTCAAGGCACAGGCAGGCATTCCCAGCAAGTTTTCAGAATTTGCAGTAATTTATAGTAAAGCCAAAATTATCTTCTCATGGCTTTGTGGTGAGATGGCTCCCAATTTTAAGAGAAAATCAGGCTGGATCTATCATCACCTGACTTTCATAAGGACACATGAAGTGAATAACACCTGATGAAAATCAATTATGAATGGTCAGATTTGTCTGCACCCTCCTGCCCCCAGTGAATATCCTGGAATATTTGAATCCCCAAACTTGACTTTGTAGTGATTATATGAGTTATTATTTTGGTGATTATGCAAATTCATATATCATAAAGTAAAATGATATCTTCTAAAAAATATTCTTAAAGGTTGTCTGATATAATCAAGACCACAAGGTAAGTATTAATCTCATTCACTTATTAATTCATTCAATAACTTCTTTATTATTAACAACATTTTTTTCTTTTTTAAAAATTTTAATTTGTTATATATGACAACAGAATACATTACAATTCATATTACACCTATAGAGCACAATTTTTCACATCTCTGATTGTACACAAAGTAGAGTCACATCCTTTGTGTCTTCATACATGTACTTAAGGAAATGAATACCATCACATTCCATATCCCCTCTCCCTTCCCCTCCCCCCTTTTCCTCTTTGCCCTATCTAAAGTTCATTTAATCCTCCCATTTACCTTCCCTGAAGCATATTATGAATCAGCAGCTTAAATCAGAAAAATCACTTGGCATTTGGTTTTTTGGGATTGGCTAATTTCACTTAGCATTATATTCTCCAGCTCCATCCATTTACCTACAAATGCCATGATTTTATTCTCTTTTAATGCTGAGAAATATTCCATTGTGTATGTATATCACATTTTCTTTATCCATTCATCTACGGAAGAGCATCTAGGTTGGTTGCACAGTTTAGCTATTGTGAATTGTGCTGCTATAAACATTGATGTGGCTGTGTCCATGAAGTATGCTGTTTGTAAGTCCTTTGGGTATAGACCGAGGAGTAGGATTGCTGGGTCAAATGATGGTTCAATTCCAAGTTTTCCAAGGATTCTCTATACTACTTTCCATATTGGCTGCACCAATTTGTAGTCCCACCAGCAATGTATGAGTGTGCCTTTTCCCCCACATCCTCGCCAACACTTACTATTGTTTGTTCTTAATAGCTGCCATTCTGACTGGAGTGAGATGAAATCTTAGAGTAGTTTTGATTTGCATTTCTCTAATTGCTAGAGATGTTGAACATTTTTTTCATATATTTGTTGATTGATTGTATATCTTCTGAGAAGTTCCTTGGCCCATTGATTGATTATTACATGTGGATTTCCAGTTTTCCCAGCACCATTTGTTGAAGAGGCTATCTTTTCTCCCATATATGTTTTTGGTTAGACTCTGTGTCCTCTATTCTGTACCATTGGTCTACCAGTCTATTTTGTGTCAATACCATGCTGTTTTTGTTACTATTGCCCTGTAGTATAGTTTCAGGTCTAGTATAGTGATGCCACCTGCTTCACTCTTCTTGCTAAGGATTGCTTTAGCTACTCTGGGTCGCTTATTTTTCCAGATGAATTTCATGACTGCTTTTTCTATTTCTGTGAGGAATGCCACTGAGATTTTGATTGGAATTGCATTAAATCTATATATTGCTTTTGGTAGTATGGTCATTTTGACAGTATTAATTCTGCCTACCCAAGAACAAAGTATATCTTTCCATCTTCTAAGGTCTTCTTTAATTTCTTTCTTTAGTGTTCTGTAGTTTTTATTGTAGTGGTCTTTCACCTGTTTCATTACGTTGATTCCCAAGTATTTTATTTTTTTTGATGCTATGGTAAATGGGTAGTTTTCCTTATTTCCCTTTCAAAGGATTTGTCACTTATATACATAAATGCATTTGATTTATGGGTGTTGGTTTTGTATTCTGCTACTTTGCTGAAGTTTTCTAGAAGTTCTAGAAGTTTTATGGTTGAATTTTTTTGAGTCTTCTAGGTATAGAATCATATCATTGACAAATAGTGCTAATTTGAGTTGTTCTTTACCTATCCGTATTTCTTTAATTTCTTTCGTCTAATTGCTCTGGCCAGTGTTTCAATAACTGTGTTAAATGGAAGTGGTGAAAGATGGCATCCCTGCCTTGTTCCAGTTTTTAGAGGGAATGCTTTCAATTTTTCTCCATTTAGAATGATGTTGGCCTGGTGCTTAGCATAGGTAGCTTTT